ACTACTACTATTGCAACCATATTAGTAGTTATAGATGTACAATTTTATTAGCAAATATTACTGTAATTGAGTTATAGATAGACAATTTTATTGGCAAATATTACTGTAATTGAGTGGTATAAAGAAAGATTGATTTAAGATTAAGTCTTAGTTTTTTACTAGATTAAACTGATTGTGTAAATGGATATCGTTATTACAGGTAATCTATTACAGATTAAATATGTTTAATAAATTTGATATGACAAAAAGTTTGAGAATAACATAACAACTGGTAATTTCGGTCAAATTTTCCAAAATTTATTAAAGTTTCGGTGAAAGAAAAAGGAAAATCTTAGCGTTCATTCTATGAGAATTTTTAAAAATTCGTTTTCATTAATTTAAAGAAAATACATGCAAATTTGCCACAAAAGGAAATAAAATCTGACCTAAATGTAACTCATTCGTAGCAACTTTATGAAACCTTGAACTTTTTTTTATCGCACGTTAAAGGTCACAGCATAGATAACAATTTTCATCCTTTTTTGTTGATAGATGAAAAATGATCGAAATTTAAAAATGGTATTTTTGTGCATTCTTTCATTTTCAAATAATTTATTTAAAATTTATTTTAATTTTTCGAAAAAATATTGAAACTTTTACGGATTAAATATTCCCAATGAATCAGTGAAGGAAATACGACAATGTTGTAAAAGATGGATGAGGAAGATCATTGATTTTTATTCAATCTGATATGCAGTAGTATCAGTTAAAGTAAGCCAAGAATCTGATGCGATTCCTTATTACTCGTAAAATTTGCATGAAAAGTTAAAGGTATGCTTCTAAGTTATACTTCATTTAACTCCCTCTTTTCTAGAAATAAAAAATAAAAAACTGAGAGTAAAATTAATTTCACTGCAATTCAAAATGTAATTTTAACAAACAAAAAATAGAAACTATTTTAGGATTGATGATGAAATGATGGTAAATTTTAGCTTGGCGCATTTATCCAACATTGTGATATAGCTTCTTTACAAATGATTACTCCATAAAAATCATTTTTCCAAATTTCATCATTAAAAATAGAGCCTCAAATCCTAATATGAAAGTTTGATTTTTTACGATTTCACTGGACAATTTATTTGAGGGAACCTTAAACTTTTCAATTTTTCACCTGATTTCTTTATTATAACTCTCATTAATTAATTACTTAGTCAAAAATCCCCTCGTAAAATCAAATGCTTTAAATGATAATTTCTGATTTATAACGAAGTACACTATTTGGAATATTCAAACAACAGGAAAGTTATATGTGTTCTATAGTTTAATTCAAGTGTCATGCTACTATATATAATTTGATGTTGACAAAAGACAACTTCAATCTTTACAATCAATGATCGAGGTCAGAGGACACGAGCAAATAATCTATCATTGGGTCATTTTTTTGATTAAACTTGGAAATAAGGCACGTTAAAATACTAATGAATTAGTAAGAGATGAACAAATTTTTTCAGTAATTAAGAAACAAAAGCAAATTTTATTTTTCAAACATACAGTAAAATCAATGTAATATTGTCAACTGAGAGTAATTTGCTTACTTCTCTTATGTAAGGTTTTTTTTTCTTTTTTTTTTTTTGGCCAATTGTATCATTTGCGGAAAATAAATCCATAACGATGACACACTAATTCCGTTCATATGTCAACCGAACTTTTGTTGTCCGAATTCTTTTGACCATTGATACTTTCTATTTTCGACATTTCGCACAATTTTCATATATGTTTCTTATGCAAATCTTTTTAAGCAATCAACTTTGAAATGTTTAATTGATTTTACGGTCATGAAATTTTACTATTTAAATACTGCACATATTTGATGTAATCCATTTATCAAGAATATCTGTAAAGTATTTAACAAACAAACGTGTCAACCAATGGTCATCCATTTTTCTTTCCAGTTTGATCACAAATATTGCAAGTTTCAAAATATTTTGCTAAATATAGCTAAAAACTTTCTTATATATGAATGAGTAGTTCAGATTTAATTCAATTTAGATTTACAAATGGATAAAAAGAGATGACTTGATCGTTGCTATTGTCAACTCGTAGACCATCCAATCTGACCGTGTAATCATGAATTATCTAATAGATGATTTACAGTAATAGCCATCCTATTGAAAGGATAAAATCTGAAGTTTTAACGATACAAATAATTCTTATATATGATGAATATTGGACCTTACATAGAAAAAAAAAGTGACCAAAAATGGGACATTTGAAGGGAATAAATTGTTTGTTGTCCACAATTCAATTCTAATCACTGTATGAAAAACCAGTTTAACGGATTTATTTTAAATGTTCTCTATCATTCATTTAGGAAAAAATTTGCTGAATAAACAATCAACAAGGTATTTTCAATATCATCAACCTTTTCAAATCACCACTAAAAAAAAAAAGTTCGAAATAAGAGAAGCAAAATTACGGTATACGAAAAAGGTCAAAAGTCATTTTGTTTATGAAAAGGAGAGAAGTTCAAATTTCGTGATTTGTTTTCTTGAAATTGTATTTACTGCAACAATATCATGAATTTTAAAAATCGTTTGAAGTTTTCTCAAGAAGTAACAAATTAAAGCAAATCAAATTATCCGTTAAGCGATTTTTGACAATCAAAACAATTAATTAAATCAAATTATCGGCTAAGCGATCTTTTGCATCGTTATAGAAGATAAGCATCAACTTATTGATTATCTTCAAATTTGTCACATATATGATCAAGACATTTGAACTTGTTTTTTTTCCAAAATAAAGAAGGTTGATTTGTTCGGTTCAATCTTTTATCGCTTATTTGAACTTTTTAAATTTGTACGACTTTATAAATATCATGCTTCAACTAAAAACAGCAAACAAATAAATGTATGTTGATTAACGCCAGTAATGGCAATTTGCGCTTATTATAAGCTTTTGGATGTTCAAAGTCAATTTTGAAAGTTCAAAATGAATTTTGGAATTGAAATTTAAAAAGATTATCTTTTTGTAATCACAATAAATACTGTAACTTGCAAGAAAAACCAACTTATCAAAATGCGCAAAATGACTCATTGCATTAAAATCTTTGTTCAATTTGAATGTTTAAATTGTTCAGTCCATTTGGGAAAGTATTATGAAATAAATTTCATGTTATAACAGAAGTAATAAGGGTTAATAAGGGTTTAAATGAAATTCATACTATACATAACTCCATAGTTTCTTGATAATTGATAAATTTACAAAACGATGATATAATACAACCAAAAACAATAATTAACTCACTTTACAATATGCAAAATTATTAATAAATAGCTGCCATTATAATAAATTTAAGCATCGTTCAAACGTGATTAACAAGTTTACTTTAACGATAATTAACTAATTATAAAGCTTTAATTTGTTCCAAAATCATTTAATTCTCTTTCTTATCAGATCCTAATTATGAAGCTTTTATCTGCTAGTCAATGACATTTTCATAAAATTTGCTAATCAAATCATTCAACAATCACTTTCCGCATGTGACAGTCGCTTATGTCATAAAATTATATGCTATTCAGTTCTTTATACGAATAAAGAAGCATATAAAAATAAAAAGTGACATTACCACTCAAGCATAACATCATCCAAAAAGAATCTATCAAATTGTAATCATTTGAAAAATTCTATCATCAGATCGTTAATAGAAGTAATATATGAAATTTTGCAATAAAATTCATACACGTAACATACATCCAATCACACAAATCTATTCATATATTTATTAAATTCCCTTAATGTCCATTTCATATTGATTTTAGGACAATAAAATATAAAATAGGTTTGTATCTAACAAAATTATCATCTCAATAAATTCTTGAAACTATCAAAATCGGAAGCTTAAAAGATGTATTCTGTTTGAAGACTGATTATTATCTCTAACAAACTTTAAATATCTTTTTTGTAAAAGCCAAATTTCTTTTTTTAGAATGGATTATTCTAGAATTGAAAAGATTATACAAATGAAAATATTCTGCAGCTAAGAATTTTCTAGAACTGAAAGAATTTTATAATTGGAATCTATTTTGGTGAGAATTTAAAATTTGCTTCCATTCTCCATTCATTAGTAATTTATGCATTTCTCTTTTGGATCATAATTGAAGAAACGATTCCGCTATGGATACTATTTTAAAGTTGACAGAAATCATTGATATTTCTTGCTACAGCTCTACGTTCTTGATCTTCTTCGGAGAACAATAAGATAAAACAGATCTTTATGTTTTACTCATATATACTATTTTAACAGCTCTGTTGTTTTCCTTGTTATTTCATGGTTTAGCTATTTCTAAGCATACATGATGAAAAAGGATCGATTGATCATGATATGGAATATCTAACGAAACGATATTCAATAATGTCATCTGTCGAATAAATGGAATCTATTCGTTATTTTCTAATTGAATAGTCGAAGTATTATCTAAAACGGATTATTTCAGATATTTATGCGATCGCATAATGTCACTATATCGTTACGTTAATACACCTGCTGGCGAGTTTAAGTCTGGAACAGTTGTGGGAATGTCGTTACATTACTTAAGGGATCAAACACTTTTCTTATATCGAGAGGAACTAGTAACATACCGTAAGCATGTTTTATTTCACTTTGAAGAAAATTTATAGATTAAACATAAATATTTGAATATTTGGATAAGAGTATGAGAGGATTGTGGCACATGCTTCAAGATACAACTTTCTGGCTCTGAATCTAGAACTCAGTTAAGCATGAAAAGACATTCCGAGTTTACTTACTTCTTTCATCCATTCTGCATTGGTATATCTCAGGGAAACCGGCGAATGAATGAAGAATCTGTTGTTTAAAGACATTAGATCTGATAAGGCGAGAAACTCTCTTCTCTTCTTTTCATAATATAAGATAACACATATTTAGATTATTCACAAATTGTTACAGTTATTTATTTCAGGTGATCCGGTACTGTTGCAACTATATCAACATCGTGATGAATATTGCTCTCTTACATCATCATTCGTATATTATTTTAATAATATATTTACTTTTTCGCCAGAGAGATATAGTGAATCATATATACCTCTGATTACTACTTGTCGATGTCCTATTACGTTAACAACGCCAACATACTGTTACACGCAACCTATACCTTCCACGCTGCAGGACAATCAACAATCTTCGAATACAGCCTATATTTAATGCGGATTAGCAACATCTCCGCCACCTCTACTATCTTCATCATCTAGTGCTTTTAACATCTTCATGGTAAGTTGCAAAATAATCGTCTCTACTCCTCATCAACGATTACATTTTTTTTCATTCACTACGTAGCCTTTTATGGTTGTAATGGTACTTCGATATTCAAGATTCATTAATTAGATCTTCAATCGATTTCATCAAATTGTTGCTCTTAAACTTTTTTTTTGTTCTAAGCCACTTAAAGCATTGGTGTTTGTCTAGCTGTCCTGTGGTAGCAACAATCATTATTATTTAATGTTCTGCGGAGCTGTTCAAGTGATAGCATTTAGATATGTATTCTGTAAGAATAAAGCAGAAACACACCTTAACGTCACAATAGTATCATTGTCTGGTATGTGAGGAGGTAACTCACAAAAATAGCTGCAGTTGGCGGTGTTGTTCGGTCTTAGTTCTTCATTTACTCGTGATTTTGTCAAGAGAACATCAGACATTTCAACACTGTTTATTACATTTTGTATTTGTCTTAGCATCCTTCTTTTTCCATATTCCATCCAAAACAACACTTATTTCATGACTTCTCATAGTATTGCAGCAAGTAGTCCAGGTTAAGACATATATTCAGAATCTGATAGAGACGGAGTTGCTGAAATAGATGAACAAGAAGCGTCAACAGTAAGGCAAAGAAGAATGGAAATGGTTTTGGCACATTAAAGATTTAAACTATTGAGTGAAATGTTGCAAATAATTCACAGATGCTGTATGGATTAGGGATTATTTTATAAAGTAGAATGGCAAGGAATAGACAGCAATAGAAAGCATCGAAAGCATCTTTTAATTTCAATTTTCAAGTGCTGTTCTGTTAGTGAGTAGAAAGGTGGTACTAGTGTCGCATTATGTTGTCAAATGCTATAGGAATGTATGTGTTTCACACAAATAGAACAACTGCGGAATACTACCTGCAACGTGTATCGGAGCACGTCAATTGTTCGGCTAGCTCGTACACGTACTACCTGTGATGAGATAGATAGAGCATATTTTTTCAAACAGAATAATACGTTTGAGGGATTACATCACCTCCATAAATTGCATTTCGTATGAAAGCTGGTCTGAAATTTCATTGTGACGTAAAAGTAATGTCGAATGCAAGGACACGTATTTTTTTGAGGACCAAATAAATCAGAAAGACAATGACATGGATTGAGACATTACAAGAAGCTTATATAACTAATGAAATAAATCTGTAGAGTAGTGATCGTGTGTCGCATGACATGGATGAATTTCAAGATATATTCGTGTTATCCTATTTGGTCACCGAATAAACGGGTATTTCAGGATATCATCATACTCACCAGATAATCGATTCTGTGATCGGTATTGGAACTGTAACAGTCTAATAGTGAAACGTATCCACCTCTGCAGGACCTCAAATAGTGTCAAGTAACTTTTTCTCTTTCTCTCGAAAACAAATCAAATGCCATAATGTCAAACCCGTACACGAACATTCTGAGTTATTTCAGAGGAAATAATCATATTTTGTTTAATGCAGATTTTCTAGAGAAATGCATCAATTGTAACCAGTAGGTATAATACAAAGTAATTAGCATGTCTGGTTGGCAAAACAGCACTTAGATATTACAGAATTTCAGGAATGTAATTGGAGTAATATCTGCAAGTCTCTTTTCGATTTCAACAGTAACCGAAAATATCTCTCTAATTTTTTGGAACTTACATGGAAGGAAGTAGACAGTATGATGGAAGAAGAGCTGAAGGGATTTTTTTTTTTTGCACGATAAGGCTAGCTCAGAATCTAAGATAAACAATTACGAAAGAACAGCTGTCAGAAGTACTCGATTCAAAAATATTATCAATGAAAATTCATAGCGTATCATACTTTAATTTCTGCAGAATTGAAAAGAATAAGCAAATTTCCGTTACAAAGACAAACAGAGAAGAGAAATACTTGAAGAATGATTAAATTCTACGGGAAAAGATGGTCACTAATCCCAATCGTTATATACAGCTCAAGGGCTAAAGGGCTTATTTACCTTTATGGATGACACACTTAAACAATACTTCAGGATGTATGCGTACAACAAAAATTCCTAGATTTCTGAATTGAAGTAGAGAATTCAAATCCAACTTAACAGCGACGAATTCTAGGCATAATTTGTAACACAGCTAACATGAATTTGTAAACAAAGCCAAACTTCGAAGCAGAGGATATTCTGCCTTTGAAATAAACATCCCAAAAAATGCGATTTTCTCAACAATTTTCCACATACTATTTAATGCAGTTAAACATTTGGTGACTCGTGCGACAATCGTTCCACATCATTGAAACGAACTGCTGTGCCTCCTCCAGCAGTTGGGATACATTCACCCTAAAAACAGCTATATTGGTTATTTTCCACTATTTACCTGAAAACAATGACTGAAAATAACGAAAAAATTTGTTTCATTATTCACATGGGTAAAAATTTCGCGACTGAAATTATTAGCCCGTAACCAACGTTTAGTATTCATCTGATGCATAATTTCCCATCATTAGTAGAAAAGACACTGAATTGAATAACTAAACACAACTAAACGAATAACTAAACAGCTTTAACGAATAAGCTTTGTGTTTCAAATGTTAAATCACAAACCTTGAATCACTCTCCTATATTTATGAATCCTAGATAAATTGTAATCAGAATTTGTGAATATCTTTCAAGTCGCAAGAGTAAGCAAAAACATATTATTTCGTTGAAATATACATCCAGAAAAATACCTTAACAACCTGTGTAGTGAGATAACCCTTTGGATCAACTTCCTGATGTGTCAGCACATAATCAGAGCATTTTCTCAATTCTTCCACACTTAATTTATTCGTAGTTTTAGAAAATTTAGGCATTCGTGGTTGCAAGATCGTTCCTTCAGGAATGCGATTTCGAGGCTGATGGTCAATCACTCTACAGTTCGCACTTTTGGATCTTCTGTGAAATCGTCCATTGTAATAACCAATGTGAGCTTTTGTTGAAGCCTGGAAAGAGACCATCTGATTTTTAGATTATATTCTAGTGAATTTTACAAATACTTAGCTTGCTCCGCTTATTAAAACCATTCTTATAGTCCAATCACTCAAACTTGCGTATTTTATTTTTTGATAAGCTTACATTTTGATTCGCAGTCCGCGCTTCCCACTTCTGTCTTGCAAGCGCAACACGGTGAGGTGTTGACAATTCTTCATTTTGTGTGGTCTGCAAAAATTACTTTACACAATATTATCGCTTTAAACGGTAAGAGAGTGTTCTAAATTAAATTTATTTAGCTACTGCAATTCTAGCATACATCTTCCTGCTTACAAAATTTTTAAAAAAAGATAATTTCTCCAACGCACCTGATTAACACAATTTTTGGGCTTAATATTAGAAAACAGAAAATTTAATTTTCTCAGTAGCTAGTACACTACAACATGTTACTGAAGTAGTATGATAAAATTTTGGAATCCAATTTATGCAATGCTAACCTTGGCATCACTAATCGAACTACCACCATCTGCTGCGGCCATATTATGAATGTTTTCAATGCTTTTGAAATGCTTAGTTGACGAAACAAGCGGTCTTTCACATATTTCACGTACCTTAAAATTTAAATAGCTTATAAACTGGGAATCGATAGAAAATAAAGAGAACTATTTCAACCAATACTTCGTTTCACTTTCTAGTAAATTCACTGACCTGATGGAGTGTTTTTTCTTTTTTACGAAGCTGTTCTTGGTACAATCTTTCACGACGTCTATGTTCCTCTTCTTGATTTAACTTCTCGGTCTCCTCCGACTCACAATGTTCCAAACGTTGACGTAAAGTCAAGTTTTCACGCTATAAATGAAGAGTTTTTTTCCCACAGAAGTGGTTTTGAAAACTTGATTCAAACACAATTACAACGAATAACTGCAACTAGAGAAAAGTGAAAATTCACACCCGCATTTGCTTCAACTTATATGTCAATGTTGATAGAAGTCGTTCTGTTTCATCCCTTTCCGCTTCAAGTTCTTGAATGCGCACTTCTTGCAAATCGACGGTACACAAGGCCCGTTGCAAGTGTTGCTCCATTTCAGCTGCTGTGAAAAGTAAACATTTATCTTTGACATTTTGTTCACAAAACTAAACTGAATAAGAAATACTAAACAAGTAGGTTTCCTTAAGTGAATGAAAGTATAATACAGCAGCATGTAAACAGCTTGTTCACAATATTGACAAAAGTACCGTCTAACAGGACTACTAATAGACCTCGCAGGCTATCTCAGCGATTTAGATATTATTCCAACCGGCACTGATATCTCAGATCAGGTTTTGTGAGAAAAATAAGGAAGAAGATAATCAAATACATAAAACAAGGTAAAAACCTACTTTTGCGTTCAAATACTGCATGCAAAGAACTATATTCCTGTGCACAGTGTTGATAGTACTGGCGTAATCGAGCAATCGACTTTGTATCTTCCGAACCCGAAACACTGAACGGTGGTGGTGATGGAAAAGAAGGCATTGCTTTGTCCTGAAGATAGGCGACAAAAGACATTTTTCGAATTCTATCAAATGACTGAAGAATAACAAATAAAAGCAAATAAACCAACCGAGATATGTAGAGGTCCTAATTCGTTTAACCATTTCAGAAAATTACGACGACTGACTGGGAAACCTGATTCAAACGGTGGCATAACTTCATTTCCTTCCGAAACCGCAATATCTTTTGACACTTGCGCAAATTTTAACACACCCTAAACACAAATTGCAATATGAACAAAGCTGGCATCACAATCTGAAGTAACAGTAATTTATGAGATTGGTGAACCTGAGAAGAAAGGAAAAAAGTAAAGTGTAGTGAACTTGCCTGATTCTCACCGAAGTCTTCCGGTCTTGGATTCAAACAAATAATCATGCGTACTTTTCCCGTTCCTTCGAAAGAGTTTTTAAAGAGGTGCGTTATTTTGGATTCTCTGTACGAAATTGCGGCTGCTTTATCACGCAGCTGATTGTCCCTACAATCGTTTTTCTTTTTTTTTTTTGCTTAAAATATACTTACAGTTTCGCTTCATTCCTATTTTAATCAACATATTATCGATTATTACTGAGAAAACGTAATTTTATTGATGTATTATGAAAAACCTAGTCATTAGATTTATGTGAAAATTTTGAAACGTATATTCGGTTATGCTTCATCCACGTGACTGAGAATGAATTTTAGAATTTCAACACACTTAGTTTAAACTTTGAATATTTAAACTAATGTTAATACTAGAAAGGAAAGCGACTGTTCTAAAAATATTTTTTACTGAAACATATTTTTGTGGAAGTTTGTTACTTACCGCAACTTCTCAAAACACTGGCGAAGAACTGAAAGTCCTTGATTTATTTTACTGCTTTCAATTAGGCGTGCTCCTTCATTGCCCGTTCTTTTTGTACGTTCCGAACCAGCCAGGTCAACCAGTGATAACTGACTAACATGTATCTATGAAAAACATCTGATCTGTTCCGAAAACATTCAAGACATCGAATCCTTTATACATATATATATATAAAGGATATATATAGATTTTATATATATATATATAGATTCTAAAATTAAATGTATTAAGTACCTTGGTAGGATCCGCATCAGGGTAACATGTATCTGGAAGATAAGGTGCCATTACCACGCGAATGTTAAATATGGAGTGTGAACGGCTGCTCTGCTTGTTCAATAACGTATCCCCAACACGTCGTCTCTCTTGTCCTAAAAAAGGAAAACCAGAACTGTCAAAATTATTTGATCACTCAGTGAGAGGCATCTTTAGATAATGATGCAATTAAATTTCGGATGTTCTGTTAATCAATATCTCTCGGTGCAGTACGCTACAATCAAAATTTTCTATTTAATTTACACAATAACCAAATAATTACCATAATTAAACGTAAAGGAAAGAGAAGGAAAAGGTAAAAAAAGCAGAACTTTTAAAATATACGCCTTTTTACTTTCATACTGCTTAAATCTTAACTCCATTAATAATGAGGTGCGCAGAAGATCTCTTCATAACGAAAGACTAGATTTGATAGACAGATCGTTAAGAATTCTGTCAGCTTGAACAAGATCTTACAAATACGAATACAACACAAATATATGATCTAACATGTTTACCTCGGTAGAATTGTTCCAATGCTTCATCACTTGAATCCACTTCAATTTCAGTTGCATTACTCACGTAAAACATATTATTGGCACCTAGCCTGATATCCTTACCAGACAGCGTCCTAAAAACCGATAAGTTGGAATCGATATCAATAACTAACCAGGCAACGAGACAACAATGCTTAGCTCATTTGAAACTCCCAAACCCTGATAAGCGACATTATTTATTTTCACATCTATGTATAATAAGCAATACATTAAAAAGTAGGAACAAGAAGAACTATTCTTGCCTAATTGTCAATATCACACTACAAAAACTTAAACCAGAACTTACTTACTACCATCCGATTTGAGGAGGGGTTTCTCAAGAAGATCATAACAAACTTCATTATAGATTTCGATGTAGGAAACGAATATTGCACAAGCCAAATCCGGGTTAGCACCACTAACCTAAATCGCTTTTTATTTGATTTGATCCAGTGGGCTACAGTAATGAAATGCATATGAATATTTTACACACTTGAGAGTAGGACAATAACATTAAAACCAACCTTCGATTAAAGATATTTCTTTAAAGGTTGTTCCTTAAAAACCATTTACGTAAGATAATTAAAAACTTTTTAAAAGGCAGTGTTATACAAGATAGAAAATCACCCTCCGGCGTTCAACATAGCGATTTGCTAATTCGACTCCATTATCGGAACGTTCGAGCTCCAGGCGTCGTCGTGCGAGTGCTGATTCAAACTCGTCCCGTACAATAAAACCATTACGTCCATCCGGTTTGAAAACACATTTATCCGCACGGTTGATCAGCGAATTAAATATGACGTCGAGAGTACGTGGAAGAATCCCAATCGACTCTTCCTGTAAGATTACTTTGAATCGCTTCAATAAAAACGCAATATAGGTTAAAATGCTAGATTTTTAGGCATGAAATGAAAAGAAATTCAAAAGTTATTCCAAAAAAAAGAAGAAAACTTGTTCGAAAGAGTTATTCGACCAACATTTAAAACACCAGTGACAGAGAGAGCATTAAGATGACAGGACTTAACAAGCGTTAATATCTCAGTAACATAGGTAACAATACAGCGAGAATTTGATCGCTGTATTCAAACAAAAAGTTGAAGTAACTAATTCACCTCGGTGTTTCCAGTCATTGTGTAAGTTTTACCACTTCCAGTAACTCCGTAAGTAAAAAGTAGTGAATTCTTTCCACGGATAAGATTTTCGATCAAATCCAAAGCAGTACGCTCAAACACTACCCGCTGACTATCACTGTCATCAAAGACATATGAAAATTCGTAAGTAGCTTCCAACTGCAAATTATTTAATCATTTAGCTAAGGTTCAGTGACTGACGTATCTAAAATATCTACGAAAATGAAATGAACGGTTTAGACAACTACCATGGTACAACCTGAAACGACAATGAAATTCTGAATAAACAGCCAATCTCGCCATTGCAGATAAACGAAAACCTCAACAACCTACAATACATGCTACAACTTATAACACAAAGGCTCATATACCACACCCCTCTTATTTCAACAATAAATGATGGAGTTAATAACGAAGTGGAAAAAAGGATCTTATTACCGGTATTCCGTTCCTGGACTGCATGGAAGCAGGTTGAACAAATCGAACGTGCTCATCGTCGATTGGTATCACGCAAGGATCATTACCTTTATATGGACATAAACGGCAAACTACTTCCACATTTTCTTTATCATCTGTTCGTTTACCGCCTCGCCGTGAAGGCGTGCCAGGACGTCTAGAACATCGATCTAATCGATCGTAATGAACAATAACTCAGCTGAGAACTTTCCCCCTCTCATTTCTAGTTTCCTCTACCTGCCAAAAGAATTTTTCCGAAAAGCCATTCTCGAAGCATGGTTTTTTGCTTTCGGAAAACAACCCATTGCCAAAGCATTTGAAAGAGATGTCATCATGACTCTCACTTTCCCCCCCCCCCCCCCCCCCAAGACCTCTATAGTAGATGTGAGATTATAATAAGGAGCTTCGGTAAATAACCAAGAAACCTACTTTCGTGAGTTTGACATCCAGTCCGAGAACTATCGACAATGTGCTAGAATATTTTTACTGAGAAGGTACCTGAAAAGAGCATATATGAATATTATTTTTCCATCATTAAATGGAATAAAAAACCGCAGTTCCATCTATTATTATCTTCCACAGATCTTATTATTCCACACTGACATTTCATATAATAATGTTTTATAGTCCTATGCTAATTTTTCATTATAGATGGAGATATAACCGCCTGATTTTTATGATTATTGAAATACATCATATTTCTCACGTGTTACTGTAATCATCATAATAATCATTTCACGGTTATTTATCTTGAAAAGATAAGATATAAATACAAAGTTATATATAAGCAACAATGTATATGAATTATATTTAAACGTTCTATAAGACAGAAATAGTATAAATTCGATTAATTAAAAAAACAATAATCATACCATAGTGACACTTCTCAATGCAAACCTCCTCTTCCATCCCTCAAGCAAAAAAAATAAAAAGGAAAAGTCTGAAATGCTATTGACGTATGTGGAATAATCAGGTAACAATGCACTAACGTCTCACGTATCCATCTCTCCCTTCCACACAAACTAAGCAACTCACCGTAATCTATCTATAAATTTGAATTTCGTCTTCTGCCGCTAAATACCGTAATTGCATCTCCCACTTGTTCAGAATTTCGTTGTGAAATCAGCCAATTCAAATAGCATGAAATGGATGAGGAGACGGTGTGTCCTTATTTGTTACTTGCACTAATATCGTAATTTATTCATTATAATTAACCATTTCAGCATATGAACAGTAACTTACAATATCACCTACCGTTGATCAAACGTGATGAAAATGACGATGTTTAATTTTTGTGTAATTTAGATGATAACATGATAATAAGTTGGTCCGATCATTTGGAATTCTATTCATTTGAAAGCTTTTTATTCATCACATATGAATACATATCTTACAATTATTTTCTTTTTAATAGTAAGAAATAAAAAAATTGATAAAGACTGGCTACTTTTCGAGGGAATATTGGTGATAATATCATAATTTATTCATTATATCTTATAATCAGTGAATAATTTGCATATGAGTAATAACTTCTAATAGCTGTCTACTATTCGCCACATGTGGTCTAATATTTGAATTTTTTTTCCCCCTATTAGAGCATAAATTAGCTTACGCTTTAATTTGTTTTTTACTTTTTCTTGCCATTCAAATTTGCAAATCCTGGGATGTAATGAAATAGCTTTATATAATTTCGAATTATCTTGATAAATCACCTTGACATAATAATCTTCTCACAAAATGAGCACCAAAAATGCATGTCAGACACTTTTTCGCACTAATTGTCTTCTTTTTTTTTCTTTTTCAGTGTTGCTGAGGGTAATAAGTAATAATAATTGGTAAGATAATAATCCATTTCCTTGGTATGACATAATCATATACCAACCAAAAATCCGATGAAATAATCAGTAATAGTAAGGACGTCAAAATATCAACGAATGATTATCGGACATACAGGATTT